GAGAAACCCAGGACGAAACGCTCCAACCCTTCCTTTTCCGCCTATCCTCACTATTGGTTTCCTACAACCCTTCAAGGTATTTCTATAAAAAATAAACAAACTGTACGTTTATTAATTACATTGACTTTTCCTATATACCTTTAATGTTTCTAATGTTATAATAACGACTTACTTTTAGAAGCTCTTTATTTTATAGTACTAAGATAACAATGATTCTTTTTTACAGTATATTGAGATTCCTCAAAGAAGTGAGAACACTAGAGGAAGATGTGATGAAAGACTTTCCATATTGGGAAACTGGGACATATCTTGGAGAGCCTATATTTAAAACATTACCGGAAGATACATATGTAAGACCTCGTCCTGCAGACTGTTTTGCATTTATGTCTTATACTGACATCCCACTCGGCCCGACAGCACATCATTGGTACTAGTAAACTTTGTATTGTAAAATGCATGATAGTACATTATATTAAAGTATATACAGTAATAAAATTGTATTAACATAATAAGTGTTGGTTTTATTATGTATTATATATTTTAACAATGTTCTTTTTTTACAATATTTATTTTATTAAAGTACTATTTGATAAAAGTGTAGTACATTTAGTAAATGTACATATGTCACTGTTTCTTCTTCTTTTCTAACTTACTGAGTTCTCTGAATACATGTTTTTTCAATTCTTTTTGTCTTTGAAGTTTCCGTGCTTCTGCGGCAGCAATCTGAGTTTGATGCGCCTCTATTCTTCGTTTAGTCGCTTCTTTAAGTTGCTTTTGTTTATAAGCATAGTTGGTTTTGATCATTCTCATAAGTCTAGCTACCTTTGCTTCCTTTGGTTCACGTACTACAGCTACTCTGGCATCTTTGAGATTCGGCTTACCAGAAATTGGCATTAATTTTGGTTTATCTCGATACGGAAGATCTTTTTGCAAGCTTCGAGGAATGAATAGAGGCTTAAATACTTTTACCTGCCTCTCGATAGGCGTATACATAGAATCTTTATTAGCTGGCATTCGTATATTGTTTTCTCTCTTTAGTTGACCAGTTGTTTTCATTCCTTGCCATCGATTTTTTTCTTCAGGGGGTAATAGAAGCGATGTAACGGGATTATAAAATTTTGGAACATCAACCCTATACCATGTTCGACAAAAAACGATGTCACTCAGGAGTATTTTATCTTCGAATGTTGCACGGAAACATCCTTCTGGTTTTGACACGGCTTTCTTTATTTGACCACGTATACCGGATACGGTTTTTACTCTAGCACCTTCAAATTTTGCTACTTCGAGTGCCGAGTTAAACATATCTTTGATGAAAGCTGTTTTTTTGTAAATTTTCATCGGAACACCGGTAAGCTTTAATTTTTTCATGATCTGTGTACTCTTGTCTATTTCTACAATGGAACCTGTTGCCGCTATTCTAAAGCCTGGTGGCCTAGTTGCAACATCTTGCACCACCAGAATTCCCGTACTTTGTGGAGTAATAGGACCCCAAAAATGCGCCATACAGGCAACATGTTCTGGGGTATACTTTAACATTCTATTCCTCAAGTTATCTTCTAATTTCGAGAATATTGCTAACGTTTGAAATCGTCGCCAACCTACGGAAAGTATCAATGGATCTTTGCTCTTCAAAATCTTTGGATACCATCGATGTTTCTTAATTCTTGTGTGCACGTATCCTATGTTCTCCTCACCATGTAAAAGTCCCCCAATAATCAATGGATATGTAGGATCTAAATGACTAATAAGTTCACATGGCACAGTTTCTATCTCAACACGCACGTACATTCCTGGACGGTAACCTTCCAATTGTACCCTTACATTATCATCCATTCCCTCGAATTCTGATTTATTTAGATTTGCTTGTCTTTCGACTTCCAATTTTAACTCGTCGTAATAGGTCTTAGTTTCGCCGTTATCATACTCCAAATCAAATTGTTCCTTTAATTTTTTCTTTTTGTCCATTAGTTTCTTTCTTTCCTCTATTTCGTTCGATGTTGATTCTTTTGGTGCTTCTGTTTCATATTTCTCCCCAGTTTCTAAATCTTCGAAGTCTCCGTATAATTCCTCATCATTTATGTCGTCTAATTTTAAAAGCTCTTCGGCATCTTCCGATTCTTTCCATTTTCCAGTTACGAAACGATTCATCACGAGCACCTTATTTTTTTCGTCCAACCAGTCCCGTGGAGTTTCTGAGAAGAATATGCACTCTCCTTGATTTTGCAGTTCTCGTTCTTGTATCTTTTGTTTCTGTTGCTCTTGAACAATACGGAAGATACCACCTACATTGTTATCTTCTTCTTCATGTTCTTCTGCTTTCTTGTTTTCCTCTTCTTGCTTGTGAGTTTTATCGAATACTCCGTAAATGATTTTCATTAGATTTTTATTATTTCGTTGACGATTTTCAAACGCCGTTCTAGCTTTTTCAACTAAATTTGACTTCCATTTTAATTCATCTTCAACTTCTTTTTCTTCTGTAACCTTACGATCTTCTTCCACATTATCAGCTTCATCATTTTCCCTTTTCTTTTCCTCCTCCTTCTCCTCCTCTTCTTCTTCGTCGGAAGTTTCATTTCGAAAGTTAGTTTCTTTTTCTCTATTATCCATTTCTAGCCCAGTTCGGGAATCTTCATCGCTAAATTCATCAAAACTTTCGCTGTCGCTATTTCGTTCTTTGTTCCTTTTATTTGAACTTGAATTTAATTGATTAAGCGCTTCTGTGATTTTATTTTTTATTAAAATATCTGACTCCTTGGTCAGAGCATGATAAACGTCTAGGTCATGTGTTACTTTTGAAACGATACTTTCTATAAAACGTGGTGATTTGTGTTCGGTAGTATCCATGTTGCTATCGTTTTCCTCTTTCAAATCTGAATCTAAATCAAATAACGAACTTCTTCTTTTTTTAATTTGGACATTTTCTAGTTGGTGAACTTCGTTCTTTCTCTTGATGCCCTTATTCTCATTTTGTTCGTTCAATTTTGTTTCTTCATTATCTTCACGGTCACTTTCATCGCTGTTTTCATGATCACTTTCGTCTGACGCATCAGAAAATTTCGCTAATGATTCAAAATCAGGGAACAAAACCTTTCTTCTAATCCTACCATTATCCATCACAGTCTCTTCCATGTAACCCCCAAAATTTTCACTTACATCATGCGATTTTATCGGAGCTGCATTACTAAACAACTGCAACTCACTATGTTGTAACTTTTGATCTAATGTTTCTTGAGTGTCCATTAGAGCTCCAATCAAACCTGTCTCTTCTTCTTGATGTGAGTGACTACCACCTAATTCAACATAGACAGCATCTTTATCATATACTATACCACCAACACCAGAGAAAGGGGCATAAATTAGTCTTTCTTTCTCCACTAATGCACGTTTTTTTAACTGTTCTGGTAGAGGACATGGATCTGGTAAAAAGATAATATCTTTGATTTTAAGATCTCCACAACCAGGAATATGTACAGAGGTCTCTTTGCTTAAAGGAATTCCTCTGACATACCTATAACATTAATACATAATTAGTAATGAAAATGAAAAATGATATATCACAGCTAGATTTAGGTATGTATTTCTACGTACCCATATAAACTTATTGTTCTATCGATTTTTGGATTTTGTCTAATTAATTCTGGAGATGTTAAATCTTCCACTCGATCAGCAAGAATATAAGAATGCGTGGTACGCCATGTAAGAGGTCTAAACTTCATGACAGATATAAACCTAGCTAGATTTTTAACTTCTGTACGCAAATATTCTCCATGAACTAGTCCAGACAAATAAAATAATTTGGCTCCAGCATAAACTTCTGTCCAAAACCTTTGTTTCAATGTTTTCTTAGTCCTCTTCAACTGTTTTGCATTTTTAATTAAATCTAAGTGGGTTAAAACACCCATGATTCTAGGCATACCATGAACTTGACAAATATTTAAAAATTCAAATATTTCCATCTCAAAGCCAAAGGATGCATCCACTAAAAGCAAAACTAAATCAGCCACTTTTGCGATATCTATCATGCTGTTTATATCATTGTTGCATTCCATGAAAGTAATCCTTCTTTTTTTACCAGAAACAACAGTAACTGGACCAAGTATATTGGTTAATGGTTGTTTCACATAACTCTTAATGAGACATTGAATTACTAAAGATTTGCCAACTTTTGGAGGACCAACAACAGCAACTAAAATGGGTGGTGGTTCAAGAGGTGATCTATCAACCAGTGGTATATGTTGCTTCTTTGTTTCTATATCCTGTTTTCGTCTAAATCGTCTTTCTGCCTTAATCGCAGAATTAAATGTAAATGCTTTCGGATTTTTCTGTTTATCCGTTAATTCTTGACCATCATTCTTTTTCACTTTCTTTTTTTCAGCCTTACGGCCGGCATTACGTTCTCTGTGTGTTTTATGAGTAACTGTATTTTCAGATTTATTTGACATCTTCGGCTTTTTTATAAATATATTTTTTTATACTAATAATACATGAATCTCTGAATAGATCTGGCGCATTTCACGTTGGCGGTAAGGTTATGTTGAGTATATAATATATTTCTTAGATATAACTTGTACGAAACCATATCCACTGACGATACAATATTTTAAAAGATTTTATTATTTTAATCATATGTAAATATCATAACACATATGAAAAACATTAAAAAATGTAATCTGTGTATTCTACCACTATTCACTACCACGTGTATTCTATAGAAAACAATATCTATTGCTTGAACTATAGACAAGATAAATACAAAATAGACTGGACATATAATGTAAAAAAGCCTATTAATTCGAATAAAGTACAAGTAATTTAATTAACAAAACTTTTTAATGTAATATGGGGAACTTTACACGCTGTCAGTACAATGCTTCGATCTTATGTATACTACAGCAACAGTAGAAAATAAGGATAGCAACAGTACGATAAGTTAGACGAGGATAGGTACAGGTTAGACAAGGATAGAAGAAAATACAGTCTTCATTTTTATTTTCATTTCTAAGGAATTTGATATATTTGAACACCTGCCTTTCAATTCTAATCTCCCTTAGAATATGGATATTCTAAAATATGACAAGTATTACAACGTACAATTTTGATCTATGATATAGATATCTAACCTATACAAAATCATGAAACAAACATATCATGGCTTAAAGTTTTCATATCAGGATCTATTTAGAATAGCAGAACCAGCACTGTATCTAGTATATCTGGATAAACATTTGTTTAACGTTTATTTGTTAAGTTTTAACTTTTTCGCCTAGTCATTTTTGACACTTACAACCGCTTAAAAATGTACTCAACAATAATTATTTCTTTTCCTATTTTATTACTAGTCATTCAACTCTCGCTACCCAGTAATTAATTAAACTTTGAATAACAGAAATAAATAGCAATCCACTAATACACCACTCTCGAATAAAACTATATAATTACCGCGCAAAAATTCAGCTAGTTCCTATTGCAACTACAAAGTCATACCAACATAGAATATGGCAGATTTCTAATGAACAAAATGGCAGGTACTTAATCATGCGTAACTTTGTAAATACATTACACGAATTAAAAAGTTATCGCATGTTGTAAATTTTCAATATTATTTATAAACATACGCGTTCAATAATACCGATTATTGTATTCGATAACTATTAATTAACTTGAATATTTTATAAATTATGATTTGTTTGTTTTATACACAACTGTATTAAAATGATGTAGAATACTCTTTTGCAAAAAATCTTTTAATGTTACACTTATATGTCCTAAAAATGTAAAATAATAATGAAACTCATTCTCTGTATATGATGTGTAAGTATACATATAAAATTTTTTCCTTTAAGAGTGACATTTATCTACACTTAATGCAAAAATGTAACATACCATGGAAAGATCACACCATGAATTCAATAGTTTGAATTCTGAAATGATGTTAACATAATGAATGTTTTCATAAATACTAACATCGGATATCCTATTTATAATACATAGATAAATGAAATTGGATATTTAATCAGCCTTAGGTGAATCTCTTATTTTACTAAGTATTTATTTTATTTTCGTAGATAAACTATGATTTTTTCTTAGTTGCTTGATCAACTTCAGGTAGATCATCATCCTCAGACATGGCAGATTTTTTTCCTATACAGAAATAAAATTCACATTTCAAGATAAAACATTTAATACGGATAAACAACAAAAGCATTTTATCAACTTCTCTCACCTTCTTTTCGCTTTAACTTTTGTTTAGATTTTACCGTCGTTTGTACAGGAATTGCATTTTCTTGGGCACGTTTAATTTGCCTCTTAATAAATACATAAGAAAGGTAGCCTTGGAAACCAACGATGATGCTTAAAGCTGAGAATCGTACGACTAGATTGTTAAAATTCCCAGCAGCAAAATCAAATGCACTTTCAACTTTACTTAAACCATATAAGAACACTAAAGTAGCAATAGCTAGTGTTGCAACACGTGCAAAAATATAGGCTGAATTGGCAATAAGAAATGCCACTGTAATCAAATAATTCCAAAACATTAATAAAAAAGTAGTTTTATCTAAAGTAACATATCCTTATCTCATGATACTTACTTCTTGTCATCTTTTCTTTTTTTCCAACAAAATGAACAAGTCTAGCACCATGAAGCATAGCATCTCCCATGTAGTGTAAAACGAATAGTAGGATTCCTACTTGCTGGAAACTATATATAATATGTAAGTACTACAAAGCAGCACAAATGACATTGTACATAGAATAAAATTTGTCATACTTAAAAGCATAAGCTGCCAATGTGAAAAACAATCCAATTGTAGCTTGTGCAACACGGGATGGAATATCCTCTTTTTTTACCCTCTGGAAATATAATTCAGGGTAACAGTGCAGCCAATAAGAAAGCTGGCCAATAAAGAATAATTTTGAGGAAAAGGACATTGGTACTGGATAATCTTTCCATAATGAAGATATGTTTAACAATAAATCTTCTCTGAAAGAAACATAAGTGCATTATAATTAATTGTGCATAAAAATTATTATACATTTTATTCTTAGATATTTATTCCTTACCTGATAATTATGTCTATACCCCAAATAACAGATAATATACAAAACAGAATCAGTTGGCTGGATTCATTAAATTTAGCAAGTTTTACTTTACTAAGATGCAAACGTTTTGAAACTTTCTGAAAAATAATATCAGTGGTGCTTTTATTGAAATACTTAAATAAGAAAATGCATTGCACTCAGTACAACTTACATCAAAGATATATTCCTGAAATACAGCATGCATTACAATTGTTATCAAGAGGTAGAAAAATACAGCACATGCATCTTTCCAACCATTAGTATATTTCATTGGTACAGTTGGATCTTCTATGTCTGAAGTTATATTGTGATGTATAGCAATAAATGTATATGCCCATGGTGATGTTGCCTAAAAAATAATTTGCGAAATTAGTAATGAGAAACAAAAGAATTGAATCTGTTACAGAATGTTCACTGTTGTGTATAATAAACGAAAGTGAAAATAAATAATAAATATAAATACACATACGAAAAAACCAGGAACATTATCTAATACATTATTTAAAATTAATTAGAATTTACTACGTACATTTGTATCGATCAACAACTACCGGTCATGATAAATAACATATGGTTATCGTATTAATGTTATTTCAAATTAACATAAAGTATAAAATATTCATTGATCACCATTCGAATCAAATAATCGCGTTAAACGAATAAAAATGATCAAAATGTGGAAAAAATGTATACGCAATATAAAAATATCATTAAGAACGAAGAAACTGAATACTGACCTGCACCATTAGACCCGTTACAAAAGTAATCGCTACGCAAGAAACGATATCTCCATGATTTTGAATCACAAATTCATGACTGAATATAGGAGGGTTTTTATTTGAATTTTTGCGACCTTTTATTGCAACCATTTTTTGTGACACGAAACACTGTTCTCAGTCACAAGTCCTCGATGTTCCACAGACAAGTAGTATGTATGTAACCCGGACAATTTACAGCACTGCCGTCAAATGATTAAATGTATAACCAATTACACCTGCAGGCCTACCGCACATACACCGCACCTACACACATAAATACATATGCCCAAGAAGCAACGCATGGAAACACGCAGTCAACGTCGAACAATGTGGCGCTTTCTATCTTTACTTGTTGGCACCACATAAATCAGTATAGCATCGAAAACATTTATTAAAGTTATTAATGTTTACATATTTTCAACATATTTGTTATATCATCTGAAAGATTGATTTTTGTTTAGCATAATGACAATAGTTTTTATTATTAAAACTTTGCGTATCACTATACGGACATGCTGTTGTTTTCAAGCGCGACGAAGTTATGATACGTAATCGCAATGATGTCCCGTTTAAAATTCTTAGCAGTAATACACATACGCGGATAAAATTAACGAACATAATGACAATAGTATTAAATGATACAAAGGGAAAGTTTGTAAGATACACATTATTAATAGTATTAGGAACATTTTCAGTAGTCATAATATCTCTATAAATAATTTATCGATAAATAAATGTACTCTTAATAGTTTGCGACGATAAAGTGAAAAACATATTCAACAACAATTCGATGTTGGAACAGAGATAAAGTGTAAAATTCATTGATCGACAATGAGTTGAAAATATATACTATTAAAAATATATACATACTATTCGAGTCTTTTACACATCAATAATGATTCTTTGCATAACAATAGTGATACACATTTTCGTTCAATTTATATTCGGCGCTTTTTAGAATTCACACTACGGGCCACATAACAAGGTACAAGTTGGTAGCACTTAAGTAACTATAATACTTACTCCTTAAATTAGTTCATACTTTATATAGTTTAAAGATAGAGAATTATAAAGGAGCGAAAAACGTTTTCTTGTACAAAAAACGTTATTGTAGTATAATATAGCGTTTGAAGAAAATAAAGTTAAGTAGCATAAACAGTGGTCTCATTTTCTCTTGTTGAGCTCTCTCATCTAAAGAAAAAGCGAAAGAGCAACGCTACAAAAGTGTATCTCAACCGCCATCTACTAAATGTTATAGCAAACATGAAATTCTATTGTTTTGTATGAACAAAGCGGGAGTGTGGCATATTGTATACGATAGTATTTTAATTTCTTTTTAAACATGGAGTGTATATATCGTTTACCATTTTTAGCATTAGAAGTACCTAATTTAAAATTAAAAAGACCATCATGGTTTGTGAAACCTAATGCTATGGTAGTTTTCTCGTTTATACTTTTATCATATTTTCTAGTAACTGGAGGTTAGAATTCTCTAGAATATCAATATTTTATATATTTTTATCAATGAAATAAAGATAAAAATTCTTTCAATAATATATTTTTTAAAGGTATAATATATGATGTAATTGTGGAACCACCTAGTGTGGGATCAACAACAGATGAACATGGTCATACAAGACCTGTAAGCAAATAGACAGAATATTTTTTCATTAACATTTAATATTTTTGTAATAATTATATACTTATTTCTTATAGGTTGCATTTATGCCATACCGTGTAAATGGTCAGTATATTATGGAAGGATTAGCATCTAGTTTCCTTTTTACTCTAGGTGGAATTGGTTTCATAGTGCTAGACCAAACGCATAGTCCATCTACTCCAAAACTTAATAGAATTCTTTTAATATGTGTTGGATTTATTAGTGTTACTGTATCTTTTATTACCTGTTGGATTTTCATGAGGATGAAATTACCGTAAGATTTCTATTAATTTTATACAAAGTTGGTATAATGCATTACAAAATTTATACAGTTACAAAGATTTCTATATTACAGCTAATTTATTTTGTGTTCTTCATCTGTACTATACTTTGTTTAAATTGTGTTTCATAGATTGCAATAATATTTAATAAACATGTGGTTTTTATATTAATCCTTTGAGTGGCACAAAAGATAGGTACTGACTATGCATATATCATTGTGTATTATCTGTTGCTTTTGTATAGTATCTTTCATTTAGTATTATTACTTCTTCAAGCTGCTAAACTTTAAGATTTTTATATCTATTGAAGTAAATTTTGTTAGATTTAGTATATGTATAAATTAAATAAGATGTAGGATACTTTCATAAGATATAACAGCTGAAATTTATACCATTACAATTAAAATGTGTTTAAGAAAATTTACTTTTAAGGTACTACAAAATAGTGCACAATATTATTTATGTTAATAAGTTTATATATTTTTCAGGGGATATTTACAATCTTAAATTTAATGGATGTGAAAATGAAATGAAACGAAATTTAATATTTTTTATGTACTAAAACTATGGCATTTTTCTACTAAATATATTAAAAATGTAATTTATAAAAAATAAAATTATGAAAAAATTCTGTCAAATATATTTCAAAAGAGAAGGAATTCTTATTTACTTGGACCTGTTTTTATTTCTTTATAAGAATAATACCAACTACTTAAACCAAGACCACTCAGGTAGCCGTTTTGGGAGCAAAGCGCTCTTTTTTGCTTCAAGCAGAGCCGAGAGCAGCGGTCAATGCTGAACAATTTCCAAATAAAAATCATCCATCGTATCACATTTTTTAACGTATAGTCAAAACTCTTTGGGAAATGGGATGTTTAAATTAACAGAAAATTATTTGGTATTTAATATTTTATTTCATATGTAGCAAATAATATCATTGAAATTTAACAAAATATGTTTTCGGAATAAACAATTACTAAATTATACAATAAACAATATTAAAATATTTATTCATAACAATTTTTATTAATTTAAAATCAATACTGCTATAATTATAATTAAATTATATGATTGCATTCATTAATAGTTATTGTACTATAAATATTTCGAATAAAATACATTTAATCATGTACTTACACCACACAAATTTAGTATACAGGATGCATCACGCCATTGAGACAAAATTGTTGTGGGGAAAGTTGAATGATATGGTAATGTATTTTCCTACGACTTCACTTTCTTTAGTGCAATAATACACCCGATCAGAAATGTAAGATATCTCACGAAATATTGGTTTTTTAAACATTGTACTTTAATACTTTTTCACGTAGAATATTCTGAGAAGTTGGTACGAGTAAAAAAAGAATTACAATTCCATTACAAAAAAAGTGCATTTACATTTTTCATATTTACTTCTTTCGTCGTTGCACTTATGAAGAAAGTCGTAGGAAAATAGATATTACCATACCATTCAACCTTTCTCTCAACACTTTTTTTCTATCTTTTACCAAATTCGAGATATAACCCGTCCCAATTGCGCGATGCACCCTGTATAGGATTTTACAAAATAAAATTATTTATTAAATAATTTACTGTATTTATCTTGTTATCTATACAATACAAATATACCATAACAGAACTATATAATATAAAATATGAATTACAGTAAAATTTTATATGAAAATTGAATTTTAGTTGAATAAAATAATTAATAAAAGAAAACGAAAAATAGGATAATATAGGTATATTTTAATCACTTTTTTTATCACCATTTGACTTAAGACATTCAGTCTGATGTTCATCAGATAGGCGATCATATTCCTTGGCAAGGGATACAGCTTGAGATTTTATAGCCTCTTTGTCTTTCTTTTCTTTTGTAAGTTCTTGCTCTAATTCTTGTTTTTTGGCTTGTAACTGTTTAATTTGGTTTTTTAACTTTGATAGTGCTGTATCATGAGCTTCATTTGAATCATTCTGTGCACTTTCTCCAATTGTTTTTTGTGATAACAAGCTTTTTGCTGTTGTAGTTGCAGAATAAGCTTGTCGCAGAGCTGCTTCACTTTGTGCTAGTAATGTGGCTTGTGCAGAAATTAAAATCACAAGACGCCTTATAACAAGACTTAAAAACAATGCAAAGCCAGATATATAACAGTTTCTTTGTGCCCGAAACAATCTCATATTACCTGTATAATATAATACCATCATACATGAAAAAAGTATTACCATTGAGTTTCTTAAAGTGATTAGAACATAACATTTGTAATCAAGTAATATGTACCTTGCATTTCAGCATCCAAATGAGTATGCTCTGAAGGATCTCCAAGTGTAGAATATTTCCGTGTTTCTCTAATAGCATCCAATAGGAGTAAAACTAATATTGCAAGTAAAGCTAAGAAATAAAATGATGCTTGATTGCCTAAACTTTGTAGGAATCTAGATTTAAAAATTTTTTGCCATCTAGTGGGAGAAATTATTGGCAAAACCAATAGTAATACTATTACAATTTCAACATAAAGAAATCCCGCAATTAAAGTCCACTGTAGGCTCATCTTTACGATTTCA